AACACCTGCTGGTTGGTAGACTCAGTAACACATTTCAATCTAAAGTTTGTATGAAATGAAAATGTGCCTCAGTTTATCCAGTAAAACCAGTCCCATCTCATGGTTTCAGTCAGAGGGAATGAAGCCAGGTTTCTATTGCAGCAACTCTGAACTTTGTCAGTACTATGCAGATGATCTACTTGTATCTGAAGCCTGAATGCAGCAATTCCCTCCACTCTCTACTGGATTGCATTACTGCTGTCAAGCAGCGTTTGGACCAGTATTGTTTGTTTTTTCCATCGCAGAATACTGAATGCATTTTATTTAATGGCAACTTTGTTGCAGATGTCATCGCTTTGACTTTGAATTTAAAGAACAGCGTTAGGAACTTTGCACTTAAAAATTGGCCCAGTCGATCCTAAATGTTCACACCAGTCTTCTAGTCATATCTTAATTTTACCAACATATGTTTTCCTGCTGGGATATTAATGGTTGGAATGACTCAACCAGAGTCCTGACAAAGATCGGGGTGATGGCAAGGAGGTCTGATTGCACTGACTCGGAGTTTTGCATCAGAATAGTTTGAGGTTGTTGCTGTGCTGCTCCTCCCTCTCTCTTTGAACAAGTGACAGGGTTTAACAGATGAAAATAAAAGTATACTCTGTGTCCTGCAGAACCATCTCCTGGAACCTGGTGGCCAGTTACTACCAGGAGCTGCCGTTCGGCAGAGACGGGCTGATGACGGCTCAGGAACCTTGGAGTGGAAACTACGTGGTGGAATCTCCGATCTGGATCACAGGTGTGTCACGGTCGGATACTGAGACCCACATGAGGAGTTTGGGTTTTTCATTCCTAAAAGACAATCTCCCTAACCTTCAATTTTATGAATGATTTCCAAAATATTCCTACTAATCTCAGCCCTGTTCTTGACCTTGCTATAAAATCCATCCAACATTCTTGGCATCTGGACCTAAAGGAGCTTCCATGTTTTGTCCAGTCATATCTTATTCTTCCTTCAGTTCTCAGATCTGGCCTAGTACTGAGTCTAACATTATGCTGCGGTTCGATGGGTTTTTCCTAACTTCCAGCATTCGTTTCCTGAAGATGTTCAGTTTTATGTGTTCCAGCATTTGGAACGAGGTTCCAGAAATCAGTCCAACTTTTCAGTGTTGGTTCCTTGCAGCCCACAGCACACAGTTCACTCAGCCTGGATGGACATACCTGCAGACTGTCGGACACTTCGCTCAGGGGGGAAGTTATGTGGCCCTGACAGACGGGAATGGAAATCTGACTGTTGTCATAGAAACCATGGTGAGTTAGTTCTTGGCCTTTACAGTGATCAGCACCTACACGATGAATGTGTAATCCTCTGGATGGAAAGCAAAGTCAGATAAAATGAATCGTGTTTTTCTTCCTCAGACTCATGATCACTCCATCTGCATCAGACCTCCTCTCCCTCCCTTCAATGTCACGTCCCAGAATGCAACATTTCAGCTGAAAGGCTCCTTTGTAAGTTCTAATGAGCTCCTTCTATGTCTGATGAAACTCACTGAGAGACGCTGGTGCCTTTACTCTCTGCTGCCTTTCTTTCTCCAAGGCCTCCATCAAAGAGCTGCAGGTGTGGAGGTCGCACTTTGACTTAAAGGCGAAGAAGCACTCGCTGTTCGAGAAGCTGCCTCCTGTGAAGGTTAACAAACACAAGCTTTTAAAGCTGTGAAGAAATAGATGTTGGGGCCGGCCTGTATCCTGAAATGTTTCTGCCCCCTGCAGCTTGTAGGTGGATCATTTACTCTGAATCTGGCTGAAGATGAAGTTTACACTCTGACCACCATCAGGACCGGACAGAAAGGGAGCTTCCCTGAGCCGCCACCTTCAGCCCGCTTCCCTAAAGCCTACAAGGACAACTTTGATACTCGTAAGTCCAGAATCACTTGAAAACAAAGTTAGTATTGTTTCCCCAAATGTTAGAGTTGCATATCAGAATTTCATTAAATTTGAAATAGAAGCAACAGAATACATATGTATTTTATTGCTAAACCATATGTCCATATTTTTTTATTCACTCCTCTTTAATGTTTTACATGTTTGTCCGATTCAGTTAATTTTTGCATTTTTATTTTTGTCCATGAAACTGCAACTGAACCATTAGATTTTTTACTTTACTTTTTTTTGTATCAATTTTTGTTTCAAAGAAAGCTGTATGTGTCTTTGTTTTTTGGGGGATGTTATTAAATCACTTACATAGTTCCTTTTTTTAGTTTAGCCAAGTCATAAAAATGTATCCTTCAAAAAACTTATCCAGTTTATTTCCTTGTTTTTACTAAGGAAAGAGTACTATATTATAATATATTTTTATCCAGTTCTTCAATATTTTTGAGAACGCTTATATGGATGTATTTCAAATAGAAGTAGCTTTTTAAGTAAAAATTAACGATTTGCACTCTTTTCCAACTTTTTAAAAATAAAATTTTGTTTACATCATGCCAGTTCACACCAAATGTTGTCTTTGCATTGAAACATTTTTTTTGTAATGATGCATTCCAATTGATACTAGTTAGTTTTCAAAGTAAATAAAATATTTTAGACATGCAAAAATCAGAAAAAAGTATTACTTGAAGTGTCTTTAACAGCTTACACTGAGACAAAAGAAGTAAGCTAAAAGTATATTATCATTATACTTTAAAATGAAATATTCACTGTTGTCCCTACAGATTCCTATTTAAGAGATTTAAAGATCATTTCTATAGTTGTTACTTTGCGTCTGTGCAGGAAACCCTCCATTTTCTGAGGCCCCTAACTTCGCCGACCAAACCGGTGTGTTTGAGTACTACATTAACCTGACTGACCCCGGACCACATGCCTTCACCCTACGGCAGGTCGTGACGGAAAGACCGATCACCTGGGCAACGGACGCCGATCAAACCGTCACTGTCATCGGAGACTACCAGTGGTAAGACAGCGCTGTGATCGCCACTGCTCAGTTCAGAGACCTGCATCTAGAAACTGAATCCACTAATGTTTGTATGACAGGCAGAACATGATGGTCACCTGCGATGTATTTATGGAGAACGTACAAAGCGGTGGCGTGTTCGTGGCAGCCCGGGTGGATAAAGGGGGCCAGTCAGTACGCAGCGCTAAAGGAGTCTTCTTCTGGGTGTTTGCCGATGGATCGTACAAGGTTACCAATGATCTGGGTCAGTTTTGTCATTCGTCAGTGCAGAACAGAGTCTAAAGCACAGGCTGCGATTTTAATGTGCTTTTTTTTTTTAATACTATCTTTGATTAACAGCTGGGCAATCGGTGCTGGCAGAGGGACAGTCAGGAACAAGACCTTTTGATTGGCACAACTTGTCCCTTTCTGTAAAGGTGAGAAAATAATTTAACTTGTGATGAGATCTTTATGTAACAGCTTTTTTTTAGGAGGGAAACAGATGCCAGATGGTTGAATGTCTGTCTTATTTTATTAAATTTTTTTCCATGCTGCAGGGTCAGAGTGCCTCCGGAATGCTGGACGGACGGCAGCTGTGGAATGTCACCGGAGTTTCTTCACCGAAGAACGGCTGGGCAGCAATCGGAACCCACTCGTTTGAACTGGCTCAGTTTGATAACTTTAATGTGTTGGCAGAGTAAAGATGGAATAGGGAAATTATTCTTTCTTGATTTAAAACTTTGGAAACTTGATTGACGTTTGTACAAAAGAAGAGAACAGGAGGGACGTAATGATAGGAAGTACACTGGAGCTCTGAGCTTTACTGCTTAATTAATTTTGCACTGCTTTTGTTTTTGATTTTTATGTTGGTTTTTTTCACGTTCAAGGGAACACAAAGACTACACTGAGGTGTTTAAGGAATTTTTTTGCCTGAACTGCCTCACCATGAATTATGTTTCAAAATGAATGTGATTAATCCATTTCATTCTGGAGGATTAACTGATTAAAGTCACTGTTGGTGTTTAAAGACGTTTGCCTGAATTTGTTTATTAAATATTTTTACCTGTAATATTGAGATTATGCAATTAAAAAAATAATTTAACATTTTATTTGACTTTTATTTCCATTTAAGCTATACAACTTAAGCTACAACATGTTCTTTCCTCTTCAGCTTCATTTTATCTATTGAAATCCATCCAGTTCTGCTTTGACACCCCTGGGAAAGATGTGTTATTGAAGGCAGTTGTTGTTTCTATATATTTCTGCTAATAATGATGTACTGTAAAAAAAAATGTTAGTCTATTTTTGCCCAATAAAGTCTAAGGTGGCATTTATTGTACAAAGGACTTGGGAAATGTAGACCTTCTTGATACAATTGTATTTTTTTAAAATATAAATAAAAAAAATCACAAATAGATTTTCCATCACACTTAACATGTGGGGCCCTGAAATATAATTTTCTTAAACTTATTGTTTTGAAGAGACGATTGATTCTTGTTTTATAACAAATTGAGGAAGTCTAACTTTTGCTTAAGCGGTAGTAGTAATTATTTTGAGCCATTGTTCTTAGGGAAAAACTAGCAAAGTTTTTCGTAATGTGACGTCTACGAACGATCCAACTCTTTTGAACGGCTCTTCAACATGAACGATAAGACTCGTGTCTCACACTGTAGTAGCTACTTTATTCTATTAGTTAAACTACAAAAAGGGGCTGAACATATGAGCACAGTTTTTGCCACTTTTGGCAGCACGGTTACCTGGCTGCTACACTGATGCAGGTTTCATGTAGCATACAACACTTGTGGAAAAACATGGGTATGTTATGATTTTTTTTTAGTTTCTAAAATTTTAGTTGTTTTTTTTTACCTTAAACTTTTTTTTTCTGAACTTCACCCGCAACAATAATTACGATGCAACCAGCATAAAATGGTCTGTCCTCCTTAGAAAGATGTACATCTCAAAAATGGATCATTTGAATGACTTTTTGAACGTTTCTTTAAAGTAATCGGATCCATGAGCTTTGGTTCCTTTCAAAGAGTCGTAAGTCCCATCACCTAGTTAGCGCGTTCGCTAGCGTACGTTTCGTTGCCATGGTAATAGTCAAACTTCGACTTTATAAAGTAACATGCCGCATAAGCACAAAGCGACTCCTAAACGGGTCTTTATCAACAACATCGACTCGTATTCCTCCAGGAACGTCGCCAAGGTACTGAAACACTGACAGATTTTGTTTGCTTCTCTTTATTTTATGTTCACGGAAGATTAAATGCCGCTTGGTTTCGTTGTAGCAGAAGTGATACGTGAGCTTGTCCGCCATATTGTGAGTGTCGACTGCGCCTTGGAAACCTGTTTTGTCTCCGAATAAGGCACTAAGGTTTACGTTCTGCCAATTTTGATAAATTGGCTTTATATGTAATAGTTAATTTCAGATCTGGTCAGGAGATAGTTTAAAATCTGCAAAAAACAGAAATACTTCAAAGAGTCAGGGAAGTGTTTCTCAAATAGTGACAGCCTTTGTTTAAAATAATGTCACTCAAGTATAAAAAAGTGACTCAAGAGCAAAAAACAAAAGTATTTGGTGAAAAGAAGACCTTTTGACTTTAATGTCCTTATTGTCTTTTTCTATAAAAGCATATATTTTAAAATAGTTAAAAAATTAGTAAGGAGGATTTGTTCTTCTGTCTATTATTGCCTGTTGTATAGTTCCTATGTAAGGCCGTTCTAAACGCCATGGATGAAGAGGAGGAAGAGGAAGAGGAGGAAGGGGAGGAGGGTCACCTGAATCAAGCCTTTCAGGTGGTTGGAACTGTCTCTAATCTGTCTGATGAGCTCCCGCCTCACATCTTGGAGGAATATTGTGTAAGTAATCTGATCCGAAGCTGTCCCGTCAGATGGCTTCACGAGGTAGAACCTCACTGACTGACTCTGATTTTATTGGGTCTTTCTTAAGCATCCTGGAAAGGAAGAACTGCTGTCAAAGCTGATGGAGTGTCAAGTTATCATCTACAACATTAGCCAGGATGCCGATCAGGTGGAGGAAGCTTCCTGGGCTGTTAAAGGTAACCTTTCATTTACAGTGGTGCTGTGTCATGAATGTAATTTTAACGCAGTAATTATTACACCATTTTGATGATAAAGGGTAAATATCTGAGATCTTGCTGTGGGACGGAGCAACTTCTTCCAATAATTTAATTGCAGCGTTTAATTTTTCCTTTTTGTGACCACGTTACTACTTTCCCAACATTTCTTAAGCAGAATTGTCTCAAAATTGAAATGTTTTTTCTTCTCCCTTTCTCTCTATTTCCCATCTCTCCTGCACACTTGATGTCCAACATCTCTAGCATCCATTCAAATTCAAATCTAAAAAAAGATAAAATAAAATAAAGATCATTCTTCTACGAAGTTTAATTCACGATAACTGATGCAATAGTCAATAAATCCAGCAGGATTCATTCTTGTGTTTCATTCACAGCCCTCCATGATCACAGAGAGGATTTTACCAGTCCAAAGATCTTTATCCTCATCTCCACTGTGATGACGTGGGCCAACAGTATACCACTGGATCCAGTAAGTCACTTTTAATTATGCTCTACCTCCATTCCTGCTTAAATATTTAATCTAATCTGGATGTAATTATCCTGGAGAATCTTGTCACTGTGTTATTCTTTTTCCATCCCAGGAAGACCCGGAGCTTCCCTTCACTGATGAGATTTTCTACTGCAGAAAAGCTCATCCCAGCTTCAAAAAGCACATCGACCTGGAGAAAGTAGTGGTGAAAGTCGGCAAATCTGTGCGTTCCCATTTCATCTGTAAGGTTCCTGTTCTCTTTCCAGAGGATGAGTGAGACTGACAATGTTGGGCGGGTTCTGTTTACAGAACAGAGAGATCTTCTCCACCTATGTGGTGGCATCCGGCCTGCAGTACGGAATGGGGGAAGGGATCTTCCACTTCTTCTTCAAGGTCCCATCACAAAGGAAAACACAACTCTCCACTGTTTTAACTCAGACATACTTTCAGTCTACTGAGTGAACAATGCCCCCTCCTGGTCACTGTTAAAAACTTCTCAGCTGGAATTTAAACACAATCCAGATAAATCTAATTAAAGACAAAACCGGAGTTGCAAATGTTGATTTATTTGACTAAATCTGTGACATTCTGTATGCTTTTAGGAGTCGTGGCTGGGAGAGGCATCTGCAATATCCATATATGGAGATGGAAAGAACATCATTCCCACCATCCACGTCACCGATCTGGCCAGGTTAATCTTCTAACCGGAGGTGGACAGACAGGCAGGTCTCCTGATAGCTGTCATTTTGATGACCCGTTAGTTTCCTTTGTGTTGCAGCGTGGTCCAGAATGTGATCCAACACCAGCCCAGACCCTACTACCTGCTGGCTGTGGACTTGTCAAACAACAGCATGGAGGAGTTGGTGAAGGTGAGAAACGATCCAGGACTGATCCAAGTGAACAGCTTAAGAAACCAATTTGTGTTTGCTGATGATCCGTCCAGATTATTGCCACTGTAGTGGGACCTGGTAACACCGTGAACAGGCCCTTTGAGGACATCTACCTCAACCCAGAGTTAACTGTAAGTTATTTTAACACCAGAAGAAGAAGCTTGGATTAAACGTAGACACAGAGCCCCCTCCCAGGAGGAGTCCTGCTCCTCTCTGGATGTTAGAAATCATTCCTGACGGCTCTTTTCTACCTGACAGGTGACGGAGATCGAGTCCCTCCAGGTCAACCTTCGGATGGAGGCGGTAAACGTTGAAAACCTGTTCTCCATACACTGGCACTGTGAGAGTGGTCTGGTGGACAATGTGGACCTGGTGGTGGAGGAGTATCGACTGTCTCGAGGGCTTCTGGTGGGGCTCGATGTGAAGATTCAACCTCACGTAGTGTTTCTGTCACGGAGCTGTGCTTGAGCGGCTTGGTTGTGTGTTTTTCGCAGCCTCTCCGGGTGTGCATCCTGGGTCCTCCCGCAGTGGGGAAGACTACCTTGTCTTCACAGATCTGTAAACACTACAAACTCCATCACATTTCTTTAAGGGACACCATCTATAAGGCCATGGCAGAACTGGTGAGCCGGCGTACGGCACCCTTATTTTCAATTAAAGCTGATCATGTTTGAACTCTGTTGGTATTCTTGATCAGGAAGGCATTGTGAAGAACCCAGATCCGGATGCTGAGGAAGTCGCAGCAGAGGCTCAAGAGCTGCTAAACACCTTGAATGAGTCCATGGATAGTGAAGGTTCAAGCTTTCTGCAAAAAAATGTTTTACCACACTTGCTTTTTTCAGTCAGGTGTGGTAAAACTGACTTATGGCTCGTCTGTGTTCCAAAAAGTCATGTTCATAAAGTGCTTATTTTCTGATTAGTGCTGGAAAATAATGAATTGTTTAGATGTTTGTTTGTTTTTTTCCCAGAACTGGAATCATTTTTGGAAAGATTTGTTCTGACATAAGTTGCACTCAAGAACTTTGAAGAGAAAAAAAAAAAAAAAAAAAAAAAAGCATTAAAAACAAGGGCAAAATTTCTCTCTGTCTCCCA